GGGGACATGAGTTTAAATTTGATCTAGTCTCTGCTTTAAAGACGCTTTTTGTGCAGCAGATGGTGTAAGAGAATTAGATTCACCTTGAACGGTCTGGACTATGTTAGTTTGAGGCCCAGGATTTGACAGCGGGAGCAGTAAGCGAGGGAGTCGGACCAAGGGAACAGCTTTTTTGTCACTAAGGGTTAGATATTTTCAATTGTGATCCTGCAACTTTGAGTATCATAGGAGGAGAATGCATGACGGAATCCCGCAATTGGTGTTACGCATGTCTTAAAAATTGCAACCAACATAATCGGGTTTATTCCTCCACTTGAAAAAAGGTAACGATAGTCTTGGTAAATCCTCATGAATGTTTCCTACCGTTGATTATCGCACGCAAGTCTTCTTGGATGGATGGAATGTATTGATTAGCACACGGCACAGCATGGAAAGAGCGGGAAATTCTGGACAAGACCACATAGTCCCGATAGCTTTCTTCATCCATACGGACGGTGTGGTATACGTGGGGTCTTTGGCCGTTTGACGAACACCATCGTTCTTGGTCGCTCCAGTTCTTGTTAAGAAGTGAGCAAGGCCACAGGTGGCCTAAAAGCTGGTTTGGGATTCGAAGCGGATACAGACCAGCTCTCGCTCTAGTAAACCATCCAAACCATTTGTAAATATTTATGCACAGTGTTTCAGGAATCCCTCAAGGGAATATCGTGAAGAGTGATTTTTTATGATACCTATGGGTATAGTACGCTAGAGGTCGTAAATGGAATTATTCGGCCTTTCCAGCAGACTAGACATATCGATCCAACACAGTCCGATAAGATCAACTTTGAACCGACAGTAGTTTTACTTAGCGGTGGTTTGAGTCTCCCAACCGTTGAAGCGTGCGGAGCAGTCAAACTAGCTAGCGAATTTCAGCTTACGGTCAACGGCATTATGGGCCCTGTGTTCACTATATATCATGAGCGGCCGAACCAACTCGTTTCCACACCAGTTCACTGATCAAAGGAACTAGACTCTACTGATACGAATCGTAAGAAAATTTCTTCGGCGAATAAGCCAAATGTAAATACCATATCCACCAGGTTATACGATGATTTGTGACTACACGGTGACGCGTGGATGGATTCGGTGTCTGAGATTGATATAACTATTCTTTGTGGCCACCAGAATTGCATCTGGAATTCGATTGACTGCCAAGCCGGAAAAACGAACAACAAATAGCAAAGCTTGCATCTCCTGAGAGACTTGCTCTGTTTTCCACCATGCATGTTCCCCCACCTTTGTAGGACGTTGGAGTTGACTGATTGTAAACAACACCTTGAAGTAGATGACTGAATAACGTTGGCCGTGCCGTGTTCTAGGTGAGTGGGGTGTTGATATTCGATGGTAAAATTCTGAAAACTCAGTTCCGCGTCTGTTCAATTCTCTGGAGCAGCCTGATGTCGATGTCCGTTTATTGGGAAGAGTGAAGACGGGACACGAAATTGAGACACTTAACCTTGTTCTCCGTCATTGAGCTGAGCCTGAAACGCACGCATTCCTGACAGACTACACAGGCAAAAGTGATGAAATTGTCATAAATCTATTTACCAGCTTGAGGCTTTGATAACGAATATTGATCAGGGATTTCTGCTCACCGAATATCTGAGACAGTGATCTGACAAGTTCAGTTAACCTGAGCTCGCTTGACAGGTCTGAGGGAATAATGTTTTTGTGCCTTTCGTGCTCCGGACTGTGCTCAGTTTTGCAGCAGTAATCTGACTTTTCAACTGTTACTGAACGTGCAAAATCACTTTCGAATATGTCTCCGTACCCTCCGAACTACGAGTCAAAAGTGTGGATAAAAAGTGGGTCAAATGTGTGAGTAACTTAATGAGCTCTAGTTACCCTTCTTCGAACCGCTTTTGTAGGCTTTTGAAATATTTTTTTGCAAATTTGATAGACATCGTGGTTTGCGGATCGCCAATTGTAATGACCGCCTTTTCTCAGCTTAGCTTTCGGGTTGAACCTTCCATCCAGTGCTCCCGTCATAATGGTCACGTGAACTGCCGTGGAAACCAGGGAAAAATTATACGGCACGTTGTATATAAAATCTGCGCGGCGGTGAAATTCTGGAAATTCGAAACCAACCGGATGCCGCACTAGCAAGCTGCACTCGGCGGACACTGGAGCATGATTGCCTGTTGGGTCCAGACATTCGACCAATCAGAGCTCGCCCTGATACCGTACTGGCATATGGAGCGCACTTCTGGCCAATCATGTACGGGATAGGCTTCGTGACCGTAGAGAGCCTGACTGCGAGCGGTAAGGCGGTGTCAGGTTGGAATTCCGTTAACAGCCTGTTACGAAGTTTTCTATCGCACTACGCTCACAACGTCTGTGCTCACCACAACCAAATACTCCAGCCGAACTCCATGTGCCTACTAGTGTCGGACCATCATAACGTTATAAACTCAGTAAGGTTCCGGTGACAGCGCAACCAAAATTTCTTGGCAAACTGCAATGTTGTTTATCTATAACAATTTATAAGTAAGCGTTCAGCTGACATGCCTTAAACATCATCCAAGTATGTTGATTTCAGAGGCCTTGTTGTAACAGATTGAAGAAGCCGCGATCTCATGAAAACGCGGAATATCGAAACACAGGATCGAAGCTTTCGCCCAACCTTCCCTGGTCAGATTTGTTCTTGTCATTCAGCGCTTTACGTTCGCCTGAAGGGTACAAATGAAAACGGTGTGTTATTGTTCTTTAGGTTCTCAGCTTGGAACAGTAGGCTTGCCAGTTCTAGGGTTAAGATAGAAAGTGTCTAAAAGTGCTCTGAACTGGGTACTCGATGGAGAATGAACAACCGTCAGAGGAAAGTTATTCCAGGCACCGACTACCCGAAACATGAAACGTTTGCTTAATAAAGGTCTGGTCTCTGAAATCTCCCTACCATGTCCCCGCCGTGTGTCAGTTGTGTCATTCCTTGGCCAAACCATGTTTAAACCGGGCATAACTATTAGGTCTCCTCAGACGTGACGATAGTTAACGGAGAAGAGTTCAAGCAAAAAGCGTTGAGTTTTCGATCCTTTCATGCTGGTGTATAGATTTTAGCACGTTCTATCACGTTTATGTGGTTGGATAGGAATTCTCAAATGGGAAAGTAATCATAAAAATAAAGAAATCGTCCAGATATAGCGCTTTTCCGATGCGTAGCTATCTTGTAGTAGTACGCAAAAGACTATCCAGTCGACCTTAGCAATACTGAAGTGCTGTCCCCATCAAGCGTTAAGGAATTTTGTGAGGCATTCATCGTCAACTACTTAAGCCTCTGTGAAGTCCCTTGGAACTCGCAAGGTTCCCCACTCTTTTTACACTGCCATTCGCGAGTAAGCTAATGGCTTCCCTACGTCACAGTGTCCCGGGTAGTTGAAGGGTGTCCGCTCACAGCTATTAAGGTTGCAGACGACATAGCTCTTCTTGGAACGGACCCTGTGGTAATTGAAGACTGGGTGGGCTGGAACCCTAGCCTCATGCTTGCGGACGGACCGTTTGAGGTCGTAGAGAGATTTGTTTATCTGGGCAGCTGTATCACTCTCGGTGGTCTTGCGAAACATGATACTTCCATCCGGATTGGAAACGTCAGAGCGGCCGTTGTGAATCTGTGTCACCTGTGACATAGGTGTGACATCAGCTTATCTGTCAAGGGTCGAGTTTACAATGCTGCGGTGCCTTCCGTTCTACTGTAAGGATCAGAAACGTGGCTGTTGCGTAGCCGAGGACGTCAAAAGTGTTTCAGTGTTTGACCATCGATGTCTTCGGAGTATTGCCCGAATCCGGTGGAAACAACAGATCAGCAGTGCTGAAGTACGTCGAATGGTATTTTGACGAAATAACTCGCTCTCGATAGATGGACTGATCACACTGCATAGGTAGTGCTGGCTTGGCCACGTACTGCGTATCCCGATCGACCGAATTCTTTGGCAGCGAAGTATGAGGGCCATTACCAGCAAACTTAGCTGCGCTGGATAGAGACCCCTAGACGGACCGCATCAATGGTGAGATACATTGCCAGACATGGCCCAGTTGCCCCCTATATGGCGCTCGTGCATTCAAGCTATTGCTTTCAATGCATAGCTCCCTTCCAAATCCCTCCACTCAACAGTCCACTGACACTGCTGTATTTACATGAGGAAGGCGGTGAGCGAGACGGCCCAACTGGTTAGAGTGCGAAGGTCCGTGGTTCGAACCCGACGTCTGCCTCTCGACTTCCCCTGTTTACGCTTGAGCAACCTAGCAGTATCCCAGCTCTCGTGCAACCTTCGGGTTGCATGGCAGTAAGGGACCGAAAGGGTGTTACAGCTGAACGATTTCCTTCTGTATTTACGCATCAATTCATCAGCTCTCGCCCCCAGTGCATGGCTAAGTACCTCACCTCCCCAAATCATCGATGAACGAAAGTGTAGCTGCTACAAACACTGTACCACAAGTATGCATTTTTTACAGCTGACAGTGCTGCTGCTGCTGCTGATGATGATCGGGCAACTGGGACTGTTGCTCTTGTCCTGGAATCCAACCGGTCAGGTACCTCTTTGGTCCCATTCTCTCACTGATCTCGCTGCTGCTGTGATGATGATCGGGCAACTGGGACTGTTGCTCTTGTCCTGGAATCCAACCGGTCAGGTACCTCTTTGGTCCCATTCTCTCACTGATCTCCGGTTGCGCATACTAGCCCTGTACAAATTACTTCTATTCTGCAACGACAGATGATCATCTTCCTCCCCATAGTTCCCCTCTCCTGGTATTGCATTCCTTCATTATGCTCATGCCAATCCTACTTGTCTACAAAGTTAAAGCATTTTTTTTATAGAATAACCGCTCCATCTGGAGACGAATCATCCAAACTCATTGGGATCTGCTAAATTCGAGAGTTGTTCTTTTCAGCGCCATCCTTGGTTGCTAGTTCCACAGAAGTTCCACGGGTAGAGCCTATCCCACTTTCTTCCTTTGAAAATTCTATTATGCATTTGTTCGACCAAGAAAGGCTGTTGGACGAGTCCATCACCTGTGTCAAACAATGTGCGCTCCAGATGGAACGTTGTCTGGTGAGTCAACTGCCGTTGTGTTGACCAAAATGCCAGGATAAGGGGGATTTAGTAGGCGCAATACATCACTGTGCAGACATGCTCAGAGAAATGAGGACGTCCGCGTTATCTCCCAAATCCTATTACGAACTTTGTAGGTTGTGATCTTTTCCATAATTCCCTACCCTAGATATCGTGGTCACCGAAAAGCTACGTCTACTGGAAAGCACTCTAATCGAGGAGCATAAAAGCGGGAAGAAGCTTTCGAACCTTTATGAAACAATTCAATATGTTGCAAACATAATTCCAAGATTGTAAGTTTTCCAAAAAACCGGTGAACCTCATTGCAACCCCCTTTTTCTAAGTTATGCCAAAGTTCCCCGCCGTTTGACATTTCCCTGTTGCTAACGACGGCACGGTTTCCAGATCCTGGTTATTTATGCGACCGACAATAGCACACACTCGTGGTGGTCAAGAATACCGAATATCCTGTCTAGTGGACCTTGGGATAGGTGCATTTATGCATAGTCTTTTCAGCAGACGTACAGCTTCCCAGCAGTCGTTTCAAAGAATCCTCTTCAGCTTGTTAGTATGGATTAGGTGTGCATTTCCATCTGCTGGCTTATTTAGACAACTGACCACTGGTGAGGAGCCATAGGAAACCCCATAATTACTAAGTTGTGGGCTTGTGATGTTATGTGTATTTACGAATGTGCCTTATGATTTTTTGGTGTGTTTATACTTCGGCAGCGTTGTCCAGGATTTAAACTCTCGGCGCTTCGGCTACCTTAAATACAGAGATCTTATCCAGAAGCAGCGCATGAGTCGTGTTTGCGAAATTCATTGCACAGACTGTTCGACCAAATGCATCGTACGAACTTCGGATACGAGTACCTGAACACAAAATTAATGCGCTATCCGCATCCCGAAACCTCATACTGGCAAAAACCCGAACTTTACCCCCTTACACGCAGTCGCGCAGATTGAGCAGATCAGCTTTGCCGGGCTTATAGACATGTTCCGCGTACCACACATCTGAAAGTCACCATGCATCTGATTGTATTAACTTGAGCAAAATTCCATCGATCTTCACTTGCTACACAACTACGTGGACGCACCGCGCTCCCGTCCGGATTTGCCTGTAACATCGGACTGAGCCGGTTGATTTCAACATGTGATAAGTACTCGTACTAGTTTTACTGAGCCGCGCCCGCAAACTTCTGAGCGCTCATTACCTTGTGTGAGCCCAAAAGAATAAGAGAAGGATGAGCGAGATATGCGGTTCCAAAACCAGTACCATACCTATGTATGGTCAGTATTTGTTAGGTCATGGAACGGCTTAGCAGTTCGTGACCTGCACTACTCCTAAGGTGCAGATTAGGCACTTAGTGGATAGCTAGTGCCAAACAATTTTCGTTTGGTATATGCAATAGCAGGCACAGAAATATTCTCAGCCTCACCATGGGCTGAGAATTTTTCGAAAGACCCAGATAAGAGCAATCTGACAACTGAAATCGATATCTACTTCCGGTAAACTGGTGTTATGCATTGCCAATAAGCTAAACCCGGATCAAACCCAAGTGGCTTTCTTTAGTGAGTCGCGATTCAGATTCATTTGTTCTGCACGGTGATGTTCATAGAAGTGTACCTCATCACAGGCTCACCACACCGAAATCGTCAGTGTTTCAAGATTTCTCTTTTACGGATTCATATGGAACCAACCAGAAGTTGAATCCACTGGTGTCCATTTCAGGTGGACCGTCCGATGACCTGAATTTTTGAAGTCAAGACTGAAACACGCGTGTACCGCGTAGTATAGATGCCCAGGGTTCGTTCTGTCTTGTTCCATCCAGTAATGCAGAGTTATTTGAACACCTTTGTGGGTTTAATCAAGTGACGCCCTCAGGGGATTAAGTATTCTGATAAATTGTGTTCACGGAACCTCCCGACCATAGACTGATACCTTGACATGGTGGTCGGGCTTGAGTGCTGCAATGATCCGCGGGCTACATTGGCTGAAACTTCGTTCCACAAGGTGTAACCATGCCGGAATGGCCAAATGGGAGCAGTCAGATCAAGAACAACGAGACTCCTTGTACTACGAGTAACCGTGCTGCGAGGCGATCTGAGAGTATAGTCGCGATATGAGGCAGTAAGGTGTTTCCCACATGCCACCAGCATGCCCATATTCATGGGAACAGAGATGCTGCCCGGTTAAGGACGGATAAGCAAAGATCGGTCCTAAGAAGCACGAATTTCTATCGCCCAATAGTTGGCTGTGACCGCCGGCGTATTATTCACTACGGTTTAATTACATTTAAAACGAGAGTCCGGTGCTGCTCAAAAGGCACCTGTGCGCGCAGCCGCATTTTGAGTGAGGCAGTAATATCCCACCCTCTGCGCCCTCGGTTCGGGTCAACACTCTGCAGCCGAACAGCTCAGATCATTGAGTCATCGGCCCCGGGAAATGTCCCCATAGAATGTCATACTACCGGCTGTTGCGCGGGTCAGACTTTCGAGTCAGAGGCTAGGGGCAGGGTTCCGGCATTCTTTGCATCTTCCATTTCTTCGACCAAGCTTCTCGGTCTGCGCGGACACTCAGTTTCACCTGGCGTCGAATGATGCGCCGGGTGGAGTTGTGGTGGCGACCAGGTGGGATCTGTCGCCGGGTCTCCAGAAAAGACAGTTCTATCAGAGATCCAATGCTTGGATGAGGTTGGCTGGGTTGTACCGCAAGCAGACGCTCCTGCTTTGAGTAACGCGTTGGATATTTTTTCCCAGTGATCGTTTATATCCGACACCGTACCGTCCGGCAGGCATTCGAGGAGCTGTTTCTGATAGTTTCGTTTGGTTTCTGGGTCAACTAGCTTCTCAATGGCTAAGCGAGGTGTGCGCGGTTCGCGTACACCTGAAAAGCAGCAGCGTACAAGTGCATGATCGGAGTTCACGCTGTTTCAGAAGGAGCGGCAGGCGGTGATCGACCCTCGCCACCGATAACTGACGGCGATGTGGTGGAAAGTTCACTAACAACCCTTTACTTACGCATCATTTATATCAGCTACGCCTCCATTACGCAGCTTTCTACCACATCTCAAGTTGTCGGTGAAGGAAACTGTGGCAGCTATAACCACTGTACGGCAAGTACGCGTTTTTTTGCAGCTGATGCTAGTGATTTAGAGACCGTGGACTGCGGCATCCCGGTGGTGCCCATTAGGTCCAAGGTGATCTGCGTATAAACAGTCTCGGGTCCTGCTTATTCTGTTGTTAGGTCTAGTAAGTCCGAGGAAATCTTTATGTCCCGCGTACTTCAGTTTTCTGGCGCTAAGTTATTGGTGACAATAAACGGACACCAACGTGCACACTCTCCCACCCTGCCGTCTCATTTTGTATCCGTGGCTTCAACTTCGCGAGGTTAGTGATGGTAGCCTCCTACTTCCAAAAAAATACGTCTGGATGTTCGCTTCACCTGGAGTCTGTTTTTTGTTGTTGGACCGTCTGCATTGTTTTGTCATTTTCATAATAATAATGGTGGTCCGGCCAGCATAGACCGCTAGGTTTGACTATTTCCTCCATTCATCAACTGAGCACCCACCCTAAAACTTAAGTTTTTGCACTCTCACGCAAGTCTATACATAAGATGTACCTATGGAATTGCATCTGGAAGTTTTTCGATTGCGAGATGTTTCGCTACTCCATCCTCACTGTTTCGGTCAAATAAGAAAAGATAGATTGTTTGGTTTCGTTTGACATCCAACTTCGACTTCCGCAAAATCCGTGCCAGCCTTGGCAGCATAGAATTTCACCTAGTGGCTAATAGTGGGTCAGGATACAGCACTTCACTGAGGTAACGGAAACGGACCAGAGAATTTTCAGAATTTAGGATATCTGAAATCAGCTCCACTTTTGACGTGCCGAGAACTGTTAGTATATGTTGTTACATCATGAAAGTCCCAACGTTTTTTGATAGACACCTTTTAAACATTTATACGCAGACGGCCGCTTACACACTTATAGTATTTCAGTTCATATGACGGTCGGTGGTGGAATAAACCCTGTTGTAATTAGCCGATCGCACGGGTCCAGACAAGGCGGGTCTGTTTGAAGCGTCACCAGTGTTCTTTCGGTTGTCTTTCTTCATATTTTGCTGTCTTATTGCAACATTACTCCAGCAAATTGAAGGCCAGTTCATTGACCCACGTTTTCATTAGCTCAAGCGATTAAAAGTAGGATTTCTGATAAAAATTGTGCCACTTGCGAACGGCGTATCTCTTTGGGAAGTTTTTCCCTCACAAGACCATGATTAATCCGTAAGAATATTTTATCTGATCACACTTATTTTGTTGTACAGTTCTTTGAGAACAGCTGCCCATGGTAGCCCAAACGTTCGGATCATAAAACTTTTTTAAAATGCCGTGCTGGAATGAAAGAACCAACTAAGCATTACTCATATAACCGCATCTTCCTTGTGATATGCTATAGAGGATCTATCCAGGTCGTTTAGATCTGGGGTTTTTGTACCCTTTTATCCACAACATTGATATTGAGTTGTGCAGTTCACTAGATCTTATAATGGTTATTTTTTGTTACATGGAGTAGGCGCTCCGGTCGGATACGGAACGGTTCGATCTCGAAGTAATATACGGGATGTGATTCTGGAGCCAAATTGAGTCTCAGCCTCTGTAGATCTGGCTCCTGACCGCCATCCGTGAGCAACGACATAATGGGGTATTTAAGGAGCCGATTTACTTGACCACAGGAAAGGGTCAGTCTCCATGATGGAACATGAGTTTAGGTGGTTTGGTCCGACTTGTACGAATGGCGTGCTTGTAATTTCGGAAGCTATGATGTGGAAGGTGAATTTGAAGAGGTATTGAAAGACGATTACCGTATGGCCATTAGGGAGGGACCGACGTTGCGAGAGCCTCATGTGTGATGGCTTGCATCTCCGGAATTAGGTGGTTAGTCACTGCACACTGAATCCATAGCTTAGTTACTGCAAGCTCAGGTAGCACGTGGAAACAGTTCCAGTTCGTAACTATATCTTACGTAAATACGCACCCATCGTGGGGGTTTGCCCGTGGTGTGTTAGTGGTAGCTGAGCTGTAAGCTTACCGCTTTAGGGTCACCACATCCGGTAGAACTGATACTCAGTGACGCTTTTATATCAATGTCACAAAGTTCGGTTGCATTGGCATTATTTTATACTCATGAATGATGTTGCCAGACGACAGTCTTGTGTCTTTTGGAAAAGTTTTTGAAAATGAGCTCTGTGTTGTCTCACTCCTTGTCTTCATTCTAGGTATCTGCTCATCACTGTCGGGGTGTATCACATTAAATGTGCTGAGCTATCGCGACGTGAAATTATCCGAGATCTTGTCGAAATGTGTTCCGGCGTCCAACACCCTGTTCGTGGCCTCTTTCTACGGAGCTATCTGTTGCACGCTCTTCGAACCGAACTACTTCCAGTCAACGAGGTAGGTATGACCAGCACTTTTCTTGCCTCCTCCAGTTTACTTTTCTCAGATGCATTATCACAATTGCAGGGAGACATGCCTCGGACGGTCATTTAAGTTTTGAACACCCACAAACCTGGGGTGCAAAAGCTCACTCGGGTTGCACGCTCTACTTTAGGGTTTATTGTTTACCTAGACATGGAACTATGGGCACACCGTTCGCATTTTTTTACGTCATTTTCTTTCGCTCCACGAGTGAAGGGTGTTGGGATCATTATGTTTTGCTATGTCACTTATTCAACCCGAAAATGAGCCCACTTTATGGTTCGTTTGTTATTCATCAGGATCCTGAACCCAAACAGGATCTGAAGACAGAAGATGCCAACACATCCGACGTTACAGCTACTTCCCCGGATCCTGAGAAGAAGTCTGCCGATATGTCTTCTGCTTCCGCTCACGCAGACTCTCAGGGTACTATCTCGGATAGCATCAGGTTTCTTCTTCTAAACTTCTCGGAAATGAACAAACTTTGGGTACGGATGCAGCATCAGGGGCATTCGAGAGACAGGGAACGACGTGAACAGGAACGACGCGAATTGCGTCTACTGGTTGGCACCAATTTGAACAGGTTATCACAACTTGAGGGGATTGATGTTATTCGATATCAGACGGTAAGCCCCATAACTTAGGCACTTGTTCCGAATGCTTTAATCTAACTTTGAACTCATATCCATTCGGATAATCTTCAGTTGTCTTTAAATGATACGACGTAACGTTCTGAGAGTGTTGGGGATATCAATATCCCCCAGAATTAATCTAACACTCATATCCATTCGGATAATCTTCAGTTGTCTTTAAATGATACGACGTAACGTTCTGAGAGTGTTGGGGATATCAATATAATATCCAAAACGCTGTTTTTATGTGTGCTAGCGAACTCCTGGCATCTTCAAGGTCAAACTATGAAAAATCAATGGCCTATTGATACTCCAAGAAAATTTAAATCCGACCACGTACAGGATACCATTCTTTCCACTGACTTGGGTTCGGAAGCTCCGGGCATCGCCTGTTGATCGTGTGTTGTTGGATTATTAAAGTTTGTGTCCGAGGTTCTCGTCTTCTTACTATTCGCCGTGCTAGGAGTCTGTATCAAGCAACATAGCTGGGGATAGAGTATTGCCACAATCCGCATTATCATATTGTTTGCTCGCTGCGTGACCGAACCGTAACATATTTGGCGACGCAAGATGGAGGCAGAACAACTCAAAGTAATGTTTGAGCAACAACTGCAACTCATCAAAGTACTTACGGAGCGACTATCAACTACATCTTTGGCTTCACCGGCGGCGTCGAGTGTCCCACAGTCGGTTGATGGAATCGCTGGCAGTATCAACGAATTTTGCTATGAACCCTCAGCTGGCATAACGTTTGATGCTTGGTTTCGTCGCTATGAAGACCTGTTCAGGGTCGATTTTTCACTTCAAGATGATAGTTGGAAGGTTCGCCTCCTGCTCCGCAAACTTGGACCCGCAGAGCATGATAAGTACGCTAACTATATTCTGCCAAAAAACCCGCGCGATTTCACTTTTGATGAAACGGTCAACACGCTTTCACAAATATTCGGTGAGCAAACGTCACTTTTCAACATCCGTTATCGATGCATGAAGCTAGTGAAGAGTGATGCAGACGACTTCCTCACATATTCTGGCATCGTGAACCGAGAATGCGAACGGTTCAAACTCGGATCGTTAACGGAAGAT